TGGGCGCTGCTGGGACCCGCCCGCGGTGCCGGGCGGGGCAGACACCGGCCTCCTGCTCTCTCCCCGAGTTACCTGGCTGCGCTCGGGACACGTGACCTGGGGCGGCTCGGGAGCCTTGGAGAAGGGCCAAAACCCAGCCCAGCATTTGCGAACTCACACTCCCCATCTGGGAGCGCGCTTAGAACCTGCACTCCCACTTCCTGGTCTAGTCCTGCCTGATTCCTGAGGCGAGCCCGTTCCGCCTCCTCCCTTTTCCCACAGGGACCTTGGGGCCTCCGCAAAAGGACGTCCGAGACCAGAAGCCTTCTCCAGTTCGTGAGAGTCACATCGGACTTGTGGAAGTCACCTCTAGGGACAGAGGGGGTCACGACGGCCAGCTTAGGGCTGATGGAAGCCACCGAGGGTCAGAGGGGTTGGTGAGAGTTACCAGGTGCCTCTCAGAGGCCTGTGGGAGGGATCATCAGATACCGGTTGGGGAAGAGGAGGGCAGCAGAGATCTAGGGACCTTAGAACTGTGGGCGGTTCCCAGAGATCAGAGGGAAGGACTTGTTCACACAGGTGCCAGGGCCGGCCCTTACTTGGGCAAGTGAAGTGCCCGCAGGACAAAGCGCGGTTACATCGAGCCCAAGCGCGCAAGCCTTGACTTTGGGTAAGTGGAGAACCGAGGAACGTGTGGTGGCTGCCTGGAGCCTCAGCCCTACCGCACGTGGGGGCGCCTGCCTGTTTCCGACTGGCTGGTTGCCTGGAGAGCTGAACACACTGGCTGGCAATAAGGCCTAGGGTTGAGGGCGCAGGTTTGAATGGCAGATCCATTCTCCATCAGGAGCAACAACCTAAACCCAATACCTCCGTTTTGCCCGGTTTCCCAAATTCTCCCATTTAAGTGACCGAGAAACTAATAATTAGGCTGGAAAAGGAGCTCCAGTCTGGCAAAAGCAGACGTAGGATGCCAAACTCGACCTGAGTCTGAGGCTGAAGTCGCACCTTGTGCTTTCGGAAGAGGGCGCTACATCCGGGCCTGTGGACAAAAGAGCCGAAGACCTGGGTACATCCCCAGCTCGGGCTCTGGGAAAGGCCGCAGCCCGGGGTCAGAGAGCCTTGCCATACAGCAGCCTCCGGGACGGAAGTGACTCTCACCAGGACAAGGCGACCAGGAGAACGTGGAAGGTGGACCTCCTGTCAAAAGGCCTCGGGCGACCAACAGTTTCCCGTGATTTAGAGAACTTCTCCCCAGACTCAGCATCAGGGCCTGCGCGCGAGTCCCCATCCCGCAAAACACTAAGCCATCAGGCCGGGGGAGGGGAGGATGTCCCTTTTTGGGCCCCGCCTCCAGTAAGACTGGAATGTCAAATATTTATTTGCGCAGCTAGGAGCAGCCGCGAGATAGGTCCCACCCCTTCTATCCCCCAGCGAGCCTGCGTCAGGACTGGGCCAAGCTCCCTAGCCAGCCTCCCCTCAGCTGTCCTTCCCAACCCCACAAACACCCGTTGGTCCCTGAAACAACCCCCTGTACGTATTGCTCCTTGTTTGGGCTCCCGCTCCAACAGGACAGCCTCAGCCTCTCCGCAAGGCTTTCCTGGCTCTGCTAGTCTCAGTCTCGCTCCACGTAGCGCGCCCACTCGTTGAGGTTTGAGGTAGCCCCTTTTCTTTCTTGGTTAGCGCTTGTCTGGACGTCCGACATCCAGAAAGCCTCCCTCTAGAGTGACCCTTCCATTGTGGCACCCCCAGCTGTCCTTATTCACACTGGTGGGACACTCATGCATGTCCAGGTCTTGGCTGGATAGTGAGCCCAAAGCACCAGGTTGGCAGTATAGGGTCGTTACTCCAAGTACCAACAAGCCCATCCAACCGCCCCATTACCGTAACTCCCAATACAGTGCTTTGACTTCTTGAAAATGGAAAATGTTCCAATAATGAGTGGCTCCTTTGCTGAGTTCCTCACTCAAATAGGTTCTTTGAGGTAACCTTAGTATTTGGGAACAACTCGTGCCCCTCTGCTCATAACTAACTTATTCGTTACTCATGTGTTCTCTCTCCAAACATCTGATCCTCGAGGAGGGACTGTCCCCCTTGCAAATCACGGGGCCTGACAGTGAATGGTGTTGCTGCTCCCACCTTCAGATATTCCATCAATAAGTCCCGCTGGACTACAGAGCCTTTGGAGTAGTGAGTAGAGTATTATCTGTGGATTTTCCTCCCTTAATAGTTGGCCTCTGCTTTTCTTCCTTATTTTCGCCTTTCAGAATACCTCCCTCAAACTAGGCATTGTGGTACACACCTGTAATCCCAGCACACAGGAGACTGATGCAGGAGGATCTCTGTGATTTCAAGGCCAGCCTGGGCTACATAATGAGACCCTGTCTCAAAACAAACACCTCTCTCAATAGCAGGGATCCCTTAGGTAGTTTGAAATTTCTGTAATTCGCTGATAAATGTCCCCTTCCCACAACCTGCTTTTCACTTCCTTCTAGGCTTCTTGAAGCATGAATAAGAGATAGCTACAGGGAGAGATAAGCAAGGCCCCAGTGGCCCAGAACAAGGCCAGAAGCATTTTCCAAAACCTGCACTCCAGAAGAAAAGATCAATCTCATGGGCCACACAATAGTCCTTTGAGACCTGTTGGGGCTGGATCCCTTTTAAAGGCAATCGAGCTCCAGTGACAGCCTGGGCAAACACAGGGTAGAAGCCTTCTTGCAACCTCCTGGGAGAATAGGAGTGTTGAAAAAGTGCTGTCTTCCTTTATTTTTAAGACAGAGTCTTGCTAAAAGCCAGGGGTGTGGTGCCATGCCTGTCTGACAACCACAAAGTCCTGAGTTTAATTCCTGGTACTGGATAAATAAATAAAAGACAGTCCTGCTGTGTAGTTAAGGCTGGTCTTGAATTCACAGTGTAACCCAGGCTGCCCTGAAACTCACAGCAATCCTCCTGCCTCAGCCTCCCAAAGGCTAGGATTACAGGCATGTGCCACCATGCCTGGCTTCCTTCTCTTTTTGGCCAAAAAAACATTCGCGAAGGAACAAGATTCAACACTGGAGGCTACTCCAGGGGACCCACACTAGCCGCTCCACATCAGTGGCCCTGCAGCTCCCAGCTGACCTCACTACTACTGATCTGAGCATCCAGTGCAGCTTTGGCTCTTTTCTCTTGCCCCCACCTTACCCAGGTTTCCCATTTCCACATCTTTGCAAGATCACTGCTAAGTGCCCACCAGAGGGCGCGCTAGCTCTGACCAGAACCCCACGGTGAGGAACAGGTGGGATAAGCGTGCTGGACTTGGAGGACAGTGCACCTGGATGGGGGAGATCTGCCTCACATGCTGCCCCCAAAGCTGCTTCCCTCTGGCTTTGGAATCTGGCTCCTTGAACACTGGCCCAGTTTTAAGGATTGGTTCAGGGTCCTCAATCTCTGTTCCACTCTGGCCCACTCTTCTCTTGAACATATTTTGATTCTTAAGATCTTGGGGCTGCTGGAGCACTCAACTACCTACCTATCCCTTCGTTGTCCTGGGAACTACCTACCTTTCAAGATTCATTTTTAATGGTTCTTCTCCCAGACAGCCTTCCTTGATGCCTGGGCCAGATCAGATGCTGTGTTCTGGTCCCCTTGCTTCAGGGTTGGATCACTGATTAAATCAGACTTTGTCCTGCCTTGATCCCAGGGAGGTTTGGAAGGGGGTGGGGCTGATACTGAGCTAGGTGGAGAGGTCTTAGAAGCTGAAATTTGGAACCCATACCACCCTTTTTTGTTTTGTTGTTTTGTGTTTTGAGACAGGGTCTCACTATGTAGCCAGTATGACCTCAAACTCCTGCTTAGATCCTCCTGCCTCAGCCTCCCAAATTCTGAGATTACAGGCATTGGCCTGTAATCTAAGCTCACCCTTTTTAAAGTAAATTTGCAGGTTCCCTGTCTTGGAAAAGGAATTTTCAGAGCACCTCATTAAAAGAGGCTTGAGAAGGGATTATTCTAGGATCCAGTCAAGAGCATTGTGTAGATGCTCGGAGAAACGAAGCTGGAGGTGGTACATTAAGGGGATGTCTTCAAGAGGGATGAGCTAAGATGTGTATTCTCCTGTCTGTCAGGTTATACTATACAAGCCATCTACATGTGGTTGTAGTCCAGATGCTGCCCACCAATATTACTGCTTCCTTGGGGGTGGAGGAAGAGCAATTTACAGCTGAAAAGGACAGGTGTGGTGCCTGTTTATAGGTTTATAGTTCTATTGTAAAAGGACCTTTAGGAATTTTTTTGAGTGAGTTTCCTGGGATGAAAAAAAGGCTTGAGTGTCTTAAGGCTGCAGGGGTTATTTTGTTTTGTTTTGTTTTTTTTGAAACAGGGTCTCACTAAGTAATTCAGGCTGACCTCAGACTCATGGCAATCTTACACTTGTAGTCCTAGGACTTGGAAGGGTGAGGCAGGAGGATTGTTGTGAGTTCGAGGCCAGCCTGGGCTACAAAATGAGTTCGATGCCAGCCTGAACTACATAGCGAGACTCTGCCTCAAAAAAAATTAAAACAAAACAAAAATTTAGGCATTAAAATCTCCTTTTTTTTTTTGTACCAGGGATCAAACTTGGAACCTTGTGTTTGTGAGGGGATGGAACCACTGAGCTAAATCCCTAGCCCTAAAATCTCAATTTCTTTGTCTCCTTTGTACCTAGTTTTTATTTCTTCTATCCCACCTCAGGGGCACTACCAAGCCTCGAGCTTTAGGGAAAAGCAATTGCCCTCCAAATGTGGAAGTTCTGATTTTGGTTTGTTTGCTCCTAGTCCAGCCCCCACCTGGCTTAGGTAGGAGTTTTGAGTGTGGGCTGGTGAGGGGAAGTGCAGATGCCAAGAGTGGCGGAGGTTGTTGGCTGTATGCTCACCTAAGAGGGTATCACGGTGGGCCTGGCTGATGAATCTGACTTTATTCCCACTTCCAGCCTTTGCCCAGAGTGTTCCCTCCACAAAAACACCCGCTTTCTTTCCCAGTCTTTTCCAGGACTCACATCCAGCCCTGCTGAACACTCCCTCCATCCTTTATCTCTTCTCCATGTCTGGCAGGCACCAGAACCCTGTCCTGTGTGTGTATGTGGTGTGGGGGGGTCACTTACTCATAGTATTGTAGATAAATAAGTTAATTAGATATCTTGTAAGTAGTTAGACAGGGCTGGCCCTGAGGCGTCAATGTGAAGGATAATCAAGACACATTCACTGAAGGCCATCACTGTAAAAGAAGAGAAACTACTGTACGACCACCAGGGATCTTAACCAAACGGTTTTGAGGAACTACCGATCAGCAACAGCGAGACAACACAACCGAACGAGCTGCGGCCAAGAATGGTGTCAAGCAGACCTTTATTAGTCTGGCCAGAAGGCCCCTTCACGCAATGACTTGGAGAGTGCCTGGAGCCCAGAGTACAAGAGGGTTTTATGTTTCTAGATGGGGTGGAAACAAGCAAAATTACAGAAGCCAAAGGCAGTGGTTAGAAAAAAGAAACAGAGCATATAGTTTGCACAGGATGAGGCTGACATTTCTGTGACAAAGTACAGAGCTGTGGTTAATTTCTATAGGAATGCCATTTTCGTGACACAGTATAGGGCTATGGTTAATCTTTACAGGAGTCATCTATCTCTTCAACCTGGAATGTTCATACTTGATGTTTGTTCCTGACCATTTTCCTGAATATGTGCTGTTCTTTTGATGACTCTGGGCCTTTCCTGCTTTATCGAGAGGGCACACTTAACCTTTAACTAAAATGGCGTCCAAGGTGGTGCTTTATGCCTGACTACCACACCTGAATAGGATGAATAGCGGTGATTGATATTGTTTGTGTTTTTTTTGTTTTGTTTTTCTGAGACAGGGTCTCACTATGTAGTTGAGACTGACCTGGAACTCACTAAGTAGCCCAGTCTCGAACTCACAGTAATCCTCCTGCCTCAGCCTCCTGAGTGCTGGGATTACAGGCGTGCACCACCACGCCTGGCTAGTGATTGATATTCTTAAATAGGTATCAATCACCTGAGTGGACAAAGATCTTCCAAGATCCCTGGTGCACCCCTTACCGAAAATCCACGCTCATTCCTTGTATGCTTGCTATGTGACTTGCATCTCCTTTAGATCCCCATTTAATCGATAATCTATCTAAGCAATTATACTTGTCATAATCAGTTTTGCCCACCTTGTGATTTCTCATTGGATCAGTATTATTGAAGTAGCTGTACCTGCAATCTTATTAGTTGATTATAGCTTTGTTCTGCCTTGAACCTGCCTCACCTTGTGGCTTTGTCCCATAGAACACCTTTGAGAAGCAGGGTCAGTGGGCAACCCACTTTCCGGGTACCCCTTCTGTCTCTCTTAGACAGAAACTATCTTTCAGTAAAGTCTACCTTCTTGTAACTTGTTTGAATTCATCCTTTGATTTTAGAGAACATGAACTCGTGCTTTGGATATCTAGGAGGTTTGGCAGTTACATCTATTCCCCCTATATCAATTCAACACATATTAAATGTCTGCTGTTTATCATACACACTTGTAAAGGAACCCACTTTCCAGTCCCCTCCTGTCTCTCAGGAGCTATCACTCCCTAAACTTTTCCTGGCCTTAACATCCTTTGTCCTTTGGAATTTGTTCTTCGATTTTAGGGGACATAAACTTGGCACATATTTCTCCTGGGTTTGGGTTCAATTCCCAGTGTGAAAAAAAAAAAATCTGCTGTGTGCTAAACTATGCTAGGCAGTAACTAGTAAAACTAAGGATAGAGGGCTGGGGATTTAGCTCAGTGGTTCAGTGGCTTGCCTTGCAAGCACAAGAACCCGAGTTCAATCCCTGGTACCAAAAAAACAAACAAACAAACAAACAAAACTAAGGATAGGGCCAGGGATTTGGCTCAGTGGTTCTGCTGCATGCTTTGAAAGCACAAGGACCCGAGTTTGATCCCTGGTACCAAAAACAAAACAAAACAAAACAAAACCAAGGATAAAATGGAGAAAGGACGGGTCAAGAACTTGCTTTGGCAGTCATTATATTATGGTCCAGTAAAAGTCAGGGAGAGGATGCTTCAATTTCATGGGTTGCTGGGTTGAAGCCTAAATGTAGAACTCTAAAGACTCTAAAGCTGGATTTGATTTTTTTTTTTTTTTTTATACTGAGGATAGAACTCGGGACCCTGTGCTTGTGAGGCAGGT